TTGTCTATCCCACAGCCCTGGCGCTAACCAATGGCCAGTCGTACAGTCAATACAACTGCGACCAAAATCGTCTTCAGCGCTGCCAACAGGACATCACCACAAACATCCAGGACATCAGTAACTCGCAGTCCGGCTCTGGATATAGTGGTATCTCCAGCGGCTACCAGAGCTCCACAAGTGACACACATGCGAGATGCAGGTGATTATGACATATTATATTATATCATACCTGTATGTATATTACCTACTTTTCTATGCTACCAGTCCTCATACTAGTGCGGCAATATTATAGATAAATATGTTAATAACGATTATAATGACAACAAAAACGGCACAAAACTTGTTATACAAAAATCGCTTACAAACTCTGGCAGTCATTAAGTTTGAACATCGGATCCCCCGCTATATAAATGCAATAAATTCTAGATATTATGATTATAACACAAAAACTGCTTTTATTTCTAGTGTAGTATATTTATTCCGCATATCTATTTGAGTTAAACTTTCGCTTCACTTTATATAACATTAAAAATGCGAAATAAATGCTTATATTTTTGACGATTCACTCCGAAACGCGGAAATGAGTTTCAATTTATAGTATAGTTTGCTATCGGATGTGAGATATTCAGTGTAGTGTCTATTGTATTAATAATGCATAAACAAAATTTTTTGTGTTTTTTAAATTACATGAATGAATTAAACATTGTGTTTATCTCACATATTTTTTACTTTTTCTAACATTTTTGCTATTTTCTGACAATATATAACAAATGCATTTCAATTCATAACTTTCTGTTGTTGTCATACAGTGTATGAAAATTATTTAGCCATTGAATTATTATTTTATAAAGTTAAAAATATCAGCGGTAGTTAATATATATTTTTTGGCTAAAAATTTATTATTAAATGAATATTATAATTTATGCAAATAATAACCATTAAAATTGCTTTTAAACTCTAAAATTTCAATATCTCTATAGATTTAGCATTACATTTTTGGTTTTCTGAATAGATTTCAATTAATTTATTTAGATAATTAATGAAAATCTACTTTAACTTCAAGTGATTTTAGTCCCATTAGAGTACTCATTGCATTCACTTTACTGATTGCCATTTGAATA